GCCAATCAGCTCCACAGGTCATCATCACACATGACAGGTCTGCCAAAAGTGGGCGGAGCATGTGGTCACTGCAGGTTGACGGGCAGATTTGATTGTTTTACTCACTCTTACTACATTTACTGGATCTATGTTTAGTGAAGGTGAATGTGGAAATTATTCCAGTGATTATTCTGCAGTATTCCGGCATTTCAAATGTATTTACAGCATTTGAAAAGAAGCCATTTATGCTGAAAAATAATACACTTATAAAAATAATATGATTAGGATTTTTTTTTCAATATAAGGGACAGTAATACATCATTTAATGGATCTATGTTTAATGCAGGTGAATGTGGAGACTATTCCAGTGATTTTTTATTCAGTATTTAGGCTAAAGTTTAAGAAGGAAGTCATTTTATTCTGCAAAATAATAATAAAAAATAATAAATAATAATAACAACAAAAATAATAATAATAATAATAATAATAATAAAAATAATTGTAAAAAATTGTGAAGATAAAAATAAAAATAGTACAAATAACAATGATAATAATAATAAAAATAATCAATAATAATAACACAAATAATAATAATAATAATAGTAAAGAATATTAATGATAATAATAATAATAATATGAATAATATTGATATTAATAGTAAAATAATAATGAATATAATAATTAATAATAATAATAATAATATTAACAACAACAACAATAATAATAATGATAATAATACAAATAATATTGATAAAAATAAAAATAATTTTAAATAAAATTAATAATAATAATAACAACAATAATAATACAAATAACAATCATAATAATAATCATTATAATATTAAAAGTAATAAAATAAAAATAATAAAAATAATACTAATAGTAATAATAATAATGTATAATAAATTATAATACTAAATAATACAATAATACAACACACCATCTAATTAATCTCACCACCTCTATATCATCTAATTAATAAAGAAAAAAATCCTTTTTTTTTAATGTTATATCCTTTATTTAGACCAGCAGAAGAGTGACGGTAGCACATGACACGATATTAATAATAATATAAATTATGTTGCAAAAATAATAAATAAAAATACTGATGGGTTATAACTTTTAAAACATTTATTAAGGAACATCAAAAAGCTTTTTGTGTTATATATGATCAGGATGATATTATATGCATTAAATCATCTCTTTAGTCATATACTGTAAATATATAAATGTTTAGTCGAACAAAAGGAGCCTGTTTCATTTATATTTCTGCAAACTAATGGATTTTTACACTCTAACGAAATGCTGTGTTGTTTAAAAGCAATGTTGGGGAAAATCAAGTAGGGAAAATTCTAACAGTTTGGTTAAAATAATTCATTTAAATTGAATTTTAAGCCGATGTCAGGTTTGACCAATTGAGCCAACACTGACTTACCATTTTCAAAAGTGTACACATTGTCTGTCACATTCAGCCCTCAGTGTGACCTCAAGCGTTGACCTGTCTGACCTCTAATGCCCTTCGTCCTAAAGTTCAAAGTTCAGCTTGTGCATCACAGTCAGGTTCAAGTTCAAGCAGCAGAGAAATGAACACTGACACACACTGCCACATAACAAATTGCAAATAATAATAATAATATTAATAATCAGTTTTAAATACTAATTTAATAAATTTATGCAAACTATTAGATTAAAATTTTACTTTATGTTCTTACTATTCAAAAATCACACATGATGGTTTAAAAAAAGGAAAATGAAAAATCATGCATTGAGCCATTTACATTTACATATACACATACATATATATACACCACAGTTCTGTCTGGTTCTCAAATCTGATTGGCTGATAGCCTTGCGATATTCTGCAATATCAGAACTCCTACAGCCTCTATACAGCCATATCGCACTGCTACTCGTGTGGTATTGCTATTGCTCATATATGTATATGTATATATATATATATATATATATATATATATATATATATATATATATATATGTGTGTGTGTGTGTGTGTGTATATATATATATATATATATATATATATATATATATATGTGTGTGTGTGTGTGTGTGTGTGTGTGTGTGTGTGTGTGTGTGTGTGTGTGTGTGTGTGTGTGTGTGTGTGTGTGTGTGTGTGTGTGTGTGTGTGTGTGTGTGTGTGTGTGTGTGTGTGTGTGTGTGTATGTATGTATGTATGTATGTATGTATGTATGTATGTATGTATGTATGTATGTATGTATATGTATATATATATATATATATATATATATATATATATATATATATATATATATCTATATATATATATATATCTATATATATATCATTCATTCATTTTCTTTTCAGCTTAGTCCCTTCATTAATCCGGGGTCGCCACAGCGGAATGAACCGCTAACTTATCCAGCCACAACCAATCTCTGGGAAATATATATATATATGAAATTTCTTCAAACTTTAAAATAAAAAATGCTGGGTTGCTCAAATATGCTCAAACCTAACAGTTGTGGTAAAAAAAAAACGTGAGATTAAAAATTTAAACCACTGTTTGGTTGGTCCATATCTGACCCAGCATTGGGTTATGACAACTCAGCTTTTTTTAATCGAACGAAAACAAAAGACGTCAATTGAAAGTAAACAAAAACAGTATTGGTCGAAGAATTTCTAATGTGTACCCAGCTCTGCATAAAGTGTGTGTACTTGTTTTTGTGATTTATGAGGACACAAACGTGTATAAAGCCGTATGTGTGAATGTGTAAAGGAGTAATGTTAGTATTTGTTTATTTGATTTACGAGGACACAAACGTGTATAATGGCGTGTGTGTGTGTTACTTGTTCATGTGGTTTATGAAGACAAAAAAACTGTATAATGACGTGTGGGTATTGATTTAAGCAGGTTACAAGGATACACGAGTATAATGGCTTGTGACAAATGTATATATTGGAATGTGTGTGTGTGTGTATTTGTTTATGTGGTTTACAAGGACACAAATGTGTATAATGGCATGTGTGTGAGTGTGTGTTAGTTCTTGTTTATGTGGTTTACAAAGACAATATTGTATAATGGTGTCGTGTGTGTGTATATTTGATTATGTGGTTTACGAGGACACAGTAGTATATAATGACGTGTGTGTATTTGTTTGTGGTTTACGAGGACACAGAAGTATATAATGACGTGTGTGTATTTGTTTATGTGGTTTACGAGGACACAGAAGTATATAATGACGTGTGTGTATTTGTTTATGTGGTTTACGAAGACACAGAAGTATATAATGACGTGTGTGTATTTGTTTATGTGGTTTACGACGACACAATATTGTGTAATGTCATGAGTGTGAGTGTGTGTGTGTGTGCTAGTACTTATGCAGTTTACAAAGACACAATAATGTATAATGTCATGTGTGTGAGGGTGTGTGTGTTAGTACTTATGTGGTTTACGAAGACACAATATTGTATAATGATGTGTGTGTATATTTGCTTATGTGGTTTACAAGGACACAAATGTGTATAATGGTGTGTGTATTTGTTTATGTTGTTTACAAAGACATAATATTGTATAATGTCGTGTGTGTGTGTGTTAGTACTTATCCCGTTTAGGAAGACACAATATTGTATGGCGTGTGTGCATTTTTTATGTAGCTTATAAGGACACAAATGTGTATAATGTCATGTGTGAGTGTGTGTGTGTTAGTATTTGTTTATGTGGTTTACAAGAACTAAAAATTGTATAATGATGTGTTTGTACTTGTGTACTTGTAAATGTGTGGTTTACGAGGACACAAATGTGTATAATGGCATGTGTTAGAGAGAGTGTGTATGTTAACACTTGTTTAGCGGGTTTACAAACACTCGAAATTGTAAAATGATATGTGTGTATTTGTTACGGTGGTTTACGAGAACACAAATGTGCATATCGACGTGTGTGTGTGTGTTACTACTTGTTTATGTGGTTTACGAAGACACAATATTGTATAATGATGTGTGTGTATTTGTTTAGGTGGTTTACGAGGACACAAATGTGCATATTGACGCGTGTGTGTGTGCGTGTGTGTTAGTATGCAGTTTACGAAGACAGATTTGTTTAGTGACGTGTGTATATTTGCTTATGTGGTTTTCATGGACACAATTGTGTATAACAGCGTGTGTGAGTGTGTGTCTGAGAGAGAATGTGTGTGAGTACGGTTTACGAAGGCACATTTGTGTAATAGCGTGTGTATTTATTCATGTTGTTTACAAAGACACAAATGTGTATAATAGCATGTGTGCATTAGTACTTGTTTATATGGTTTACGAAGACACAAAGTTGTGTGTGTGTGTTTGTGTGTGCATGCATATGTGTTTGTGTGACTCTAAATCAGTCGTCAGGCCTCTGTTTTGGCCCATTCGCGGATACAAGCCCGTTGATTACTGTGTGAAATAAAGTACAGCATCCCGTTACACATTCCCCTCACACACACACACACACAGGCTCTCCAGCAGATCCTCCATTCAGCCTCTCCGCCGTTCCTCCCTCCACAGAGATGCAGATGAGCAGGCGCACTTGGGCCCCCCTCACACACACACACACACACACACACACACACACACACACACACACACACACACACACACACACACACTGCTGTCTGTCATATTCGGCCCCAGACAAGACATTGCCCACTTGCCCTCGAGCGTGGGAATGGGGGTCCACGGGCGTTCACATCGTCTCCCCCACGCGCGCTCCTCCACCGCATCAATTAAGGACGAGTTTTTTTTTCTTTTCCTGCGCCAATCCATCCACAATTCCTGCCTGCGTCCCATTATGTCCCAATTATTTCATTTGAGGAGCTTGAATAAGTCCAGAGTCAACGATACGCGCGCGCGCACGTGGGTCCAGGCGGGCTGACAGCACAACTGCAACTAACTTACGCCTTATTTGTCCTGCGCTCGGCTAATCACACACCACCAACAACAAATACAACGCAACATGAACAAAAACAACGCGTTTTATTTATTTGTTATTTGCGCATCACGCATTTGTTTACGCAATGCTCCATACGTTGCTGATAGAAGCGGCTCTTACTTTCGGTTATCTAGCTTTATGACGGCCAGCACACTCATACAGCTAGATAACCAAAGATAACAACACGCCTCCAAGTGCAAAAGTCACCAGAGGAGAGCAATTAGTTTGCGCGCGCACGCACACAAAAGAAGAGAAAGTTCCTTGCAAACGAGATCCAACTCCGATCGATGAGCGTACAGTGGAGTGCGCGGCGTCTGCTGCATGCATCAATACAGCGGAGAGGATGCCTTTATTCGGGAGGCTGGATGTACAGTGGGGTGCGCATGAAATCCTGCGTATCCGCGGTATAGAATGAACGAGCGCGCAGCAAAAAGCGCAAAGAGCGACAACGCAACACACATGCGTACTCCGAATACGACTCTCGTGCGTTTGGTGCGTAAAACGCGAGCGTGTTTGAACCGGAGGTATTTTTTTTCTGGCGTGTTTGCTCGGGGTAACATCATCATGACGTGCTTTTGGCACACGGATGACGTGCTCGCGACTGACGCACTCTTGAATGCCCGAAAAATGCGCGCACATGAGGTCAGAGGTCGTGCATGTCAATTCGGGAAGGCGAAAAACTACATTGTGTGATTAGTAATGTTTCAGACACAGAGTTAGGAATTAATGAAAGAAAAGGTTGAAAAGCCATGAGATGTGGCTGCTTTTCTACACTAAAATATGCTGGGTTTTATTCAAGCTTAATTACGTTAACTTTACAAACGGAAGAGGATTGAACATAAAAAAATTAAGTTGTCACAATAAACACTCAAGAATTGTGTTAAGTCATCTCATTTTAAATAAGTAGCTTGAACAAACAGCACTTGCCTTTTCTTCAGTGTAACATTTGATGTATAACCTACACTAAAACAGTGTGTTGTTTGTTCAAACTACTTATTTAAAATGAGCTGAAACAACACATCAAGATTTCGTTGGCAAACTTAATCGTTTTAAGTTCAATCCACTTATAAAATCATGAATAAAATCATGTCTGCAAAATTTTTACAAACAATTTAATTGTATGTGTTGAGTTTAAACACACTCATTTAATTTAGTAATGTTCAACTCAATTTGTTTATTTAAATTCAGCCCAAATAAATTGTTTACAACCACCTAAACACTATAGTGGAATCCTTATATTTTTTTCCAGTGTACTTATTTGAAATGAGCTGAAACACACTTTGGGAGATTTCGTTGGGAAACTTAATTGTTTCATTTTCAATCCACTTAAATTTTTAAGATTTAAGTGCACTGAACACTAATGATGTCTGCAAAATCATTAAAAACAAATGTGTTGAATTTAAATAAACAAATGAAATGCAGCACTGTTCAACTTAATGTGTTTGTTTAAATTCAACCCAAATAAATTGTCTACAGCCACTTAACCTAAATTAAGTAAATCCAATGAATTATCTTTGATTTTTTTTTTATTAGTGTGGATTGAGCATAATATTGAATATTTAAGGTCATTATGCATGGAAATGTTAGTTGTCTATGCCTAATGAAAAGCACCTCAATTTATGTTAGCTATATGCAAGTCCCTGCTATAGTTTAGTTTTAGAAATACACAAAAAAAATGATTCTGCAAAATTGTTGCAAACAAATAATATGTGCTGAGCTGAATTTAAATAAATTAAATGTATGTTCAACTTATTTGTTTTTTTATATTTAGACTAAATAAATAGTTTACAACTACTTAACATTTAAAGTAAATCCAAGGAATCATCTTTTAATATTTTTTTTCAGTGTACTTCTTTGAAATGAGCTGAAACGACACAGTTTCTGAGATTTTGTTGGGAAAATTAATTGTCTTTGTTTAATTCACTTACATTTTAATATTTTAGTGCAATAAATAAAATGATGTCTGCAAAAGTACATTATATGCTTCAAATTTAAATGAACAAATTAAATGTAGTAATCTTCAACTTATTTGTTTAAATTCAGCCCAAGTAAATTATTTACATCCGCTTAACTTAGTAAATAAATTACTGTAAATAATAAACTTAAATGAGTAAATCCAAAGAATCATCTTTGACCATTTTTTTTTCAGTGTGGATTGAACTTAATATTTAATTCACTGAAAAACAATTATTCAAAGATGATTCCTTGGATTTACTCAATTTCTTTACGTTAGGAGGTTGTAAACACTTTATTTGGGCTGAATTCAAACAAACAAATTAAGTTGAACACTACTTAACTTAATTTGTTTGTTTAAATTCAACACAAATACATTGTTTGCAACAGCTCTGCAACACTTTTTTTTCAGTGAGTTCATTATGCATGGAAATATTAATTTCCCAGGCATAATGAAAAAAAAAACGCCTCAGCTTCGGTTTGCTGTATGCAAATCTCTGCTATAGCTAAGCTTTCAGAAACAGCTTCTGTTAGCTTTTAAGCCACATTATAATAAATGCAGGGTTCTGCTCAATTCCTTCAAGCTGTCCCAACACAAATCAATTAAATTAACTGAATTGTTTTTACTAATGTAAGTGGATTAAACATGAAACAATTAAGTTGTCCCAAAGCAACTCAAGAATTGTGTTGATTCAGCTCATCTTTAATAAATAGTTTGAACACGCAGCTCTTGTTTAAGTGCATGCACTGATACAATAGGCTATTCCTTACTATTTACTATCAAGATCTAAATTAGTGTCTTTCATTTGTTGTTTTTATCATAAATAAATGTAAAAGTCTCATAATAAATATGAACTAGTTTCTGCTCTTTTGTTTGCCTTCTTTGATGTGACAGTGTGTGTGTATAAGGAAAGTATGTGTACTGAAAAATGATGCACAAAATGATGTTCATTATTCAGCCACTAACCATACAAGCATGCAAACATTTGAAGAATTGTCTTCTAATATCAGCATTTTCTTATGTCTCAATTCAGTACTTTGACTTTGATGGCAAAGAATAGGTTAAGTTCATCACTTCCAAACTAAAATAACTGAAGATAAACATAAGAGGCTAAGAGAAATGCTTATTGAAGGAAATTTCAGATGGCACTTGGAGGTTTTTGCATCTGAACTCTTCAAATGTTAACATGCATGAATAGTTAGTGGCTGAATACTGAGCATAGTTTTGTGCATTATTTTTCATTATACATACTTTCATTATACACACGCGCACACACACTTGAACGAGTTTGGAAAGTCAAAAACAAATTAAAGAAGGCAAATAAAACAGCGAAAACTTCATTTAGATGTCTACATTTTATTATTTAGTCACTTTAGCACACACAAACACATCCAGCATTATTGATACGCTAACATCAGCGCAAATGTCTGAATGAAACATTTCCACAAACCTCTAAACGAAATAAATGAAAGCAAGAGACGCAAATTACAGAACAAAAGCTTCACCTTGATTTTACAGGCTCGAAGCGACTAAAGTTACCAGACAAATTTTCCTAAAATAAATATACAAACCATTGTAAAAGGAAATAGCATGCTCATTTTGATCGCAGCTCTCAATTTAACCAAGCTTAAAACACTTACTGTGCGTGACACACAGTACACAGTACACAGTACGTGAGCACAATTAACACTTGTATCTGAACAGCAGGTCAATGTGGCAATACAACATAAAGCTGCGTATTATTATTATTATTATCACTATAACTATTATTTAAAAAATATATAAAAGCAGTATTTCTTTATAATATGCTCATAAATATTCTAAACAAATCAATAATTGCATTACACTAGAGAAAAGCAAATTGCTTTGTTGATCTGCGTGCAATGAAAGCTACAAATGCGACATTTTTATCAAACATTTGTTTATAGTCTGTATGAATTCAGCGCAAGATTTGTGCACAATATTTCATTATCATAAACTTACATGCTCCGCTCATCTGGACGTGAAATGGCCAAACGGAGATCCTCTTTAGAAATCACATCCAGCAAATCCTTCCTCGGCATGTTTGCTAATGAAACACGAGGCCTGGATGCGTGTTATTCCGTGCACATGATGAAGGAGGAGGAGGAGGAGGAGGAGAGCTGAACTTCACCTCTGCTGGAGCTCCACGGCGAATGGAAAGTGCAGTGATTTTTGGAGACTCGAGGGGGGAGTTTGGGTGGGTTTAAGAAGGAGGGGGGGGTCGTGGATTTATGATCCACCCCTTCTTACTTCTTCTGCAATAGACATGTGACTAAATTAACATTGCACTTAACCGCACAACTTGATGTAACTGCGAGTTCTTGCGTTGTTGTGGTTGTTGCTGCTGCGCAGAGTGATGTGCGCAGGTGCGACTCACCTTTATAGGCCACGCACCATAAGTCATTATTTATTTATTTATTTATTTATTTATTTATTTATTTATTTATGTTTCAGTTTGGCTAATTTATTATCTCACATACAGCAATAATTATTTGTTAAAGGTGATCGCGTATTATTATTGATAGCCGCTTTGTTATAAATAATGCGAACATATACAATCGCATTACCTACAGTATAAAGCAAAAATGATTGTATAAAAAATAATATTAGAATAGAATAAAAAATGTATATATACAGAAGGGGTCCATACATCACACATTAAATAAAAATATTATACAATACACACATTTCAGTTGTTTTTAACGTCTTTGTTTTTTGGTAAGATGTTAGAAATTGTTTCTAAGTAGGCCTAATATTGCATTTCAGTAAGCTAAATATATATCAATGAAAAGGTTTTTAGTTTGTACATTTGCATTCGTGTTATTGTAGCCGCTTTTGATTGCTGGGGTCACGCGCAATGACGTCGCCTTGTTAGTGACGCGCAGCCATATTTAGACACACTGAGGAAATTAGTGATGCTCAGTATGCAAATCATGCCATTATGACTGCACCACTGAGACGAAACAATGTCTCGTGCTGAAATAAAAGCAAAAGGCTATTTATTTGTCTCGCTCAGGTGGACATCTGTATTTCTGAGGCAGATGTTGTGGATGTTGATGATGTCTGCGTGCGTGGAGGAAGATGTAAGAAATGAACGCCTGTAATCAGCTTGATGTGTCTTTGTGTTTGTCACCAGGCAGAACAGCGTCTGGCAGCAGCTCACCTGTACATTTCGGACATTTTCACAGCTCCTCAAACTTCTTTTTTTAATTTTAAATGTATATATTAATTTATTTGCACTTCTTTTCTACAGCAGGTGAGTGTTCGGATTTGTTTTGAGCTATTGGGTAATAAATATATATTTTACTATTTTTTTTACTTTAGATTATTAGTCTTTTTTACAATATATAAAATGCAGGGTTATTTTTGGTTTTTATTGCATTTTATAGAATATAAAAAAACGAATACACCTAATTTTCAACTCATTTTAAATGACTTTTCTGGTCCATATTCGAACCAGCGTTAGGTTAAAACGACTCAGCATTTATTTTGTGCACATAAATCACAGAGATTTGATTTTATAGTTTAAAATTAATCAGTCGAGTTTTACTTGAAACACATTTTCGTTGCGTGCATGGTAAATTATCATGTTTATGCCATTTTAATTATTTACAAAACACATACGACTAAAAACTAAATAGTATAAATGATTTAAACCTCTGTTCTATATATAATATTATAAATACCCTTCTTTCCCAGTACTGGGTTGCAGCTGGAAGTGCATCCGCAGTGTAAAACATGCTGGATAAGTTGGCGGATCATTCCGCTGTAGCGACACCTGATAAATAAGGTACTAAGCCGAAGGAAAATGATTGAATGAATCATGCAGCCCTAATTAGAGTAACGAGAATCACCTCTACAATAATATGTCCATCTGTGTACAGCACGCGTTCTCTAACACACACACACACACACACACCGATACGCCCGCTTTAAAATCTTTGCGTGTGTGTGTGTGTGTGTGTGTATGTGATTCCGCGGCAGGTGTGTTTGTGTGTGTGTGTTTATTTTCGATCAGATATCTTGAGTTCATCAGGCTGATTGTGGATCTGCATGTGTGTCTGCTCATTATGGAGAGACAGCAGGTCGCGCCGCATCGCTTCTTTTAATAAAGCAGACGCGCAAGATTATTTCCCCTCGTGTGGCCTGACACTAAACGCATTTAAAATATAAAATAAACTCTAAAATGTCATGTTGTTGTATTGTTTCCCCCAGTTATATCTACATTGCGCATTTTAACCCAACTGCTCCATGTTTGACTCAACATCACTGCCAGCTTTTTTTAAAAGTTGATGTAAAATTGGCCATGAGTGGATGTATTTAATTTACAGTGTCAATAAATAAAATAGATTTGATCCTTTAGGATTTCGAATGTCTTCTGTAGTGAAAAGAAGGAAAATAGTACACACACACACACACACACACACACACACACACACACACACACACACACACACACACACACTATTTAAAATTAAAATCTATTTTAATCTATTACAGTAAAAAATCAAGCTTATCATCCACTATTTTAGACGTAAAGAGCTTTGTAGTCACTGATAAACTCGAATAAATAAATCTCGGTGTTATCAATTTGCGATTTATATATGATGTGAGCGCTTCATCTGCATAAATGACTACATTAGTACTTCATTAAATACTTCATTATTTATTTTAAAACGAGTTTTTTATTTATCGATGTATTTTACAATAGATCTTGTAATTTTGTCTACTGCTGATCGCTCGTGTGTGTGTGTGTGTGTGTGTGGTGAATATTGTAGCACAGCGACATCTGCCGGCAGATTCATTGCAACAGCAGCTGCCCTTTACAGCGGATTTAACTGGAGGTTTATTCCACTAAAATCCTTCAAATACCGCAATTATTCCATTTAGCCATTTCTATCTATCTATCTATCTATCTATCTATCTATCTATCTATCTATCTATCTATCTATCTATCTATCTATCTATCTATCTATCTATCTATCTATCTATCTATCTATCTATCTATGCTAAGGTTGGGTCAAATATGGCTTAAAATAGTGTCACTTATTCCAAAGCTGCTCTATTGGATTGAGATCTGGTGACTGGAGGCCATTTGAGTACAGTGAACTCATTGTCATGTTCAATAAACCAGTCTGAGATGATTGAGCTTTATAACGTGTGGCAAGAAAATCTCCCCCACACCATTACACCACCACCACCCGCTTGAACCGTTGACACAAGGCAGGATGGATCCATGCTTTCATGTTGTTGAGGCCAAATTCTGACCCGACCATCCGACAGCAGAAATGGAGACTCATCAGAGCAGGCAACGTTTCTCCAATCTTCTATTGTCCAGTTTTGGTGAGTCTGTGTGAATTGTAGCCTCAGTTTCCTGTTCTTAGCTGACAGGAGCGGCACCCGGTGTGCTCTTCTGCTGCTGTAGCCCATCCGCCTCAAGGTTGGACGTGTTGTGTGTTCAGAGATGCTCTTCTGCAGAGCTCGGTTGTAACAAGTGCTTATTTGAGTTACTGTTGCCTTTCTATCAGCTGGAACCAGTCTGGCCATTCTCCTCTGACATCAACAAGGCATTTGCGCCCACAGAACTGCCGCTCACTGGATATTTCCTCTTTATCAGACCATTCTCTGTAAACCCTAGAGATGGTTGAGCGTGAAAATCCCAGTAGATCAGCAGTTTCTGAAATACTCCGAGCAGCCCGTCTGACACCAACAACCATGCCACGATTAAAGTCACTACAATCCCCTTTCTTCCCCATTCTGATGCTCGTTTTGAACTGCAGCAGATCGTCTTGACCATGACTACATGCCTAAATGCATTGAGTTGCTGTCATGTGATTGGCTTATTATACATTTGCATTAATGAGCAGTTTGACAGGTGTACCTAATAAAGTGGCCGGTGAGTGTACGCAAATGCAAACATTTCTTTCTGTGAGGACTGGTGCATTTATAATGAAGTAAAGCACATACACATCATTTGTGAGTGTGTGTGTGTGTGTGTGTGTGTGTGGTTTGAGGATGTGAAACTGCCTGTGTATTACATAAAATAGGTTAGGTGTTACATTAAGACTTTCAGCTATAAAAATGTGTAAAACAAACACATAAAATACAGTAAATCCAACACACTCACTGAGTGCAAAAGGTCTTATAAATGCATTGTTTGATAGAGCTGAATATTTTACAGTAAATCAAACTAATTTCCTCATGAACGGGCCTTTGCCACATATTTTAATAAAGGTGTTTTCAGTAAATATTTCATAAGCAGCTGACTGTAGAGTTATGTGTTAAATAAGCAGACCTCTGTGTGGGATGTGTATTGTTAACGAAGCTGTGTGAACTGATGCTAAAGCACTGTAAATGCACTGATGCTGTAAATAAAGATTTATGTCTGTTCCTGTACATTTGTTGTGTTAATGCAGAAATCTGTCTGTTTTAATGTGTACAGCACCAGTTTTAAAGATTAAAGAGGGCCTATTATGCAAAAATCACTTATATAAGTGGTTTAAACACAGTTGTGTGTCAGCAGTGTGTGAATATATCCAGAATCTAATGATAAAAGTGTAGTAATTGTATTCGTTTATAATCAGAATTGATGAAAACAGTCTGCAGAAACACTTTGATTGACATTCTCCCTTTGTATGATGTCATCAGAGGGGTAAAGCCCCGCCCACTAGTGACCATTTCTAACTCATTAGCATACTAAGTTAGTCTTGTTTTTGAATCTGCCACTATGCTGACACACAGACATCTATAGCTCCGCCCTCTTCTGAAAAGAGCACAATCTCATTTGCATTTAAAGCGACAGTCACCAAAACACCACAATAAGGATCAAAGCCTAAAAGGGGTCAGTTTAAACATGATCTGTGTGGTATTTTGGGCTTAAACTCTAGGGACACCTGAGAAAATAGTTAAAAAAAATAAGGGAACCTAAAAATATGAATGAAATAAGGGATAAAACAGGCAATAACAGTTTATATGGCTTTTATTTTGTCGTAGCTCACACTGCTTCGCCTCTCTGTTCAACATCGGCAAAGCCTGAAATCACATTCGGACTCATGTGGTCAACAGGTCGCAACAAATGCTCTGCATTTTTTATGAAAATATAAGCAAAATGTATTGTACATCTCTTCCACCGGGGACAGGCAAACACACGGCCCAGAGAACAGAAACGTTGTTAACACGGCTCGCAAATATCAACAACATTTACAAGAGAATCGGTGCGTATATCTGAAGTCAAAACCCTGGGCTTTCATCGATTCCCAACGCCAACAGGAACCTGCAAATCCTGCGTTCTCTATTTACATAAACACGTTGAACCTGCAACACGACGACGTCAGTGATCACATACAGTTGAAGTCAAAATCATTCGCTCTCCTGTGCAATATTTCCCAGATGATGTTTAACAGATTCAGGAATTATCCCACAGTATTTCCTATAACATTTGCTCTTCTGGAGAAAGTCTGGTTTGTTTTATTTCGGCTAGAATAAAAGTAGCTTTTAATTGTTTTAAAGCCATTTTAAGGTCAATATTATTAGCCCCTTCAGCAATATTAGTTTTGAATTGTCACTGTTATACAATGACTTGCCTAATTACCCTAACTTTACCCTCATTACCGTAGTTAAGCATTTAAATGTCACTTTAAGTTGAATACTAGCAGTGGTGGGCAAAGCGAGACTTCATGAAACACTACAACAGTCAAACCAGAAGCTTCTAAACGTTTCAAAACCGGTCTCTTCAGTGACACCTAGTGGTCATTTTCATGTATTGCTCTGGAACAGCTTCAGCAAAGAAACAGTTCAGCAAATTGAGGTATTAAACCCTATGTAGTAGCTGAGGTTTCAAGTGATTTAGTGGAGCGGTGAGAGTTCCAGACTAGCATGCAGAGATAATGGATTCAAATTCAGGGCGATGCAGCTGTAGACGTTTTTAAAAATGTAAAAATACTCTGAAATTATGACTTGATGTCTTGATGTCTTGTTATGGTCATAAAAAAGTAACATTATTACAATACATCAAGTCATAATTTCAGAGTATTAAGTCTGGAAGTAGTATATAAGTCTGGAATCGAACCTTTGCAGCAGAGTTACCGTGCATTCTCACGGGGCTTCAGCGTCAATGATTGACCGAGGGCGTTCAAAATACTTTAGTCATGTGACCTGGGTGTTTCTAAACACTTTAGTCACGTGACTTGGGTGTTTCGAATCAACTTAGCCATGTGACTTGGGTGGTTCAAATCTTTTTAGTCATGTGACCTGGGTGTTTCGAATCATCTTTGTCACATGATCTGGGTGTTTCTAAACACTTTAGTCATGTGACTTGTGTTTTTTGAATCATCTTAGTCACGTGACTTGGGTGGTTCAAATCTTTTTAGTAATGTGACCTGGGTGTTTCGAATCATCTTTGTCACGTGACCTGGGTGTTTCGAATCATCTTTGTCATGTGACCTGGGTGTTTCGAATAATCTTTGTCACATGACCTGGGTGTTTCGAATCATTTTTGTCATGTGACCTGGGTGTTTCGAATCATCTTTGTCATGTGACCTGGGTGTTTCGAAACACTTTAGTCACTTGACCTGGGTGTTTCGAATCATCATAGTCATGTGACTTGGGTGTTTCGAATCATCTTTGTCATGTGACCTGGGTGTTTCGAAACACTTTAGTCACGTGACCTTGGTGTTTCGAATCATCTTAGTCATGTGATCTGGGTGTTTCAAATTATCTTAATCACATGACCTGGGTGTTTCGAATCATCATAGTCACGTGACTTGGGTGTTTCGAATCATCTTAGTCACGTGACTTGGGTGGTTCAAATCTTTTTAGTCATGTGACCTGGGTGTTTCGAATCATCTTTGTCACATGACCTGGGTGTTTCGAAACACTTTAGTCATGTGACCTGGGTGTTTCGAATTATCATAGTCACATAACCTGGGTGTTTCGAATTATCTTAGTCATGTGATCTGGGTGTTTCAAATCACCTTAATCACATGACCTGGGTGTTTCGAATCATCGTAGTCACGTGACCTGGGTTTTTTAAAACACTTAAGACACATGACCTGGTGTTTCAAATCATCTTAGTTGCGTGGCCTGGGTGTTTCAAATCATCTTAGTCACATGACCTGGGAGTTTCAAAACACTTAAGTCACGTGACCTGGTGTTTCGAATCAACTTTGTCACGTGACCTGGGTGTTTCTAAACATTTTAGTATCTTGAACAATATTTTATCAAAAATGATGTGCTGTCATCATGGCAAACATAAAAGAAATCAGTGATTAGAAATGTTTATTATGTTCAGAAATGTGTTGAAAATCTTCTCTCCATTACACAGAAATTGGGGAAATAAATATTCAGGAGGGCGAATAATTCTGACTTCAACTGCACATTTGCAAGTGAGCATCGGGTATTTATTACTGAGAGACACGTCAACGCCTCTTTTTAATAGTTAATAATAATAATTACGCATAATATATTACTGAAACTAAAAAGTAGCTTTACCAAACAAGAGTACCAGACTTCTCTTTTGAATCCTGTATGCATACATACACGCGTCAGGTGTAGTTTTTACATTTTTTTTTTTTTTTATTTAATTTTTTACCCCACACGTGGCACAAGCGATGCATATCCCTTTGCCCCGCCCCCCCAAAAAACTCCAAAATCACAAACACGCCCCCCGCCCCGTATACCTGATATATATATCATTTGTAATACTTTAATGCAGCACGCACACTCCGCAGAATAAACACACATACAGTCGTGTGAAAAAGTTTGTGCACCCTGTTTAAATCCGATTATTTATCCTTTTATTAGGACATGAAATATGATCAGATCCTAGGTAAGTTCTTAAAATTTGACATAAAAGACCCTCAGATGAAGAAGAGTATGTGGCATTGATGAAAATTACAATACTAAATAAGATGCACCTAACGTGAACACAAAAAAATAAATAAATACAAATAAAAAATAATGAATTTTTAAAATTTCCATCAACTTTTTTGGTGCGGCTGACTGTAGTATGGCGGCACTGTGGCTCAGTGGTTAGCACTGTCACCTCACAGCAAGAAGGTCACTGGATCGAGTCCTGGCTGGGCCAATTGGCATTTTTGTGTGAAGTTTGCATGTTCTCCTTGTGTTGGCGTGGGTTTCCTCCGGGTGATTTCCCCCACAGTCATGCGCTATAGGTGAATTGAATAAACTAAATTGGCCATAGTGTATGAGTGTGCATGTAAGTGTGTATGGGTGTTTCCCAGTACTGGGTTGTGGCTGAAAGGGCATCCACAGTAAAAAAACATATGCTGGAATAGTTGGTGGTTCATTCCGCACTTCAGAAACAATATTCTTAACCACGCCCCTTTTACCGTTAGCTGAGGAAACTATGTGCAAAAAGAAAGCCCCGCCCCCTACTCAATATTCTGTTTTAGGAGGATGCACATCACCATACTCAAATAAAAGCGTTCACAACATATATTAGATTTTTTGTTGTATTATGCCAGAATACGATAAGGCTCCAAACTCTATATGGGGGGCGCAAACTTTATCACAATGCTGTTCATGACACTTGCTCATATATAAATAAGGTCAATAGATTTTTGTTTGTATTACATTATATGAAAAAGCTTAAATTTCAATATATGGGGGGTGCAAACTTTTTCACAGTGGTGTTCAAGATGCCTGCTTGTATATGAAGAATAAGGTCAAATGATTTTGGACGAATTACGTCCAAATATGGAATATATATGGATGAATACTGAAAAGCTTGAAATTTATTCTACGTCCGAATACGGAAATGCTTTAAATTTAAAATGGGGGGTGCAAACTTTTTCACAGTGCCCATTTTCAGCAGTGTTCAAGATGCCTGCTCGTATATGAAGAATAAGATCAATAGATATTTTTGTATTACTTTCAAATACGAAAAAGCTACAAATTCAATATATGGGGGTGCAAACTTTTTCACAGTGCCATGTTCAGCATTGTTCAAGATGCTTGCTCATATATGAATAAGATAAATAAATTTATTTATGTCTGAATATGAAAATGCTTGAAATTCAATATATGTGGGGGGTGCAAACTTTTTCACAGTGCCGTTTTTCAGCATTGTTCAGGACATCTGCTTGTATATGACGGATAAGGTCAACATTTTTTACAAATACAGAGAAAAAGAAATTCATTTTGAGGGGGTGTAGACTTTTTCACAGTGGTGTTAAAGACGCCTGTTCGTGTATGAAGAATAAGGTCAGTGTTTTCTTTTGTATTATGTTCGAATACTTGAAGACATGAAATTCAATATGGGGGTGCAAACTTTTTCACAGCTGCGTTTTTTAGCAGTGTTCAAGACATCCGCTAGTAATTGAGTAAGGTTAGTAGATTTTTATGTATTACGCCCGAATAGGAAAAGCTTGAAATTCAATATGGGGGTGCAAACTTTTTCACAGTGCCATTTTTAGCAGTGTTCAAGACATCCGCTCGTAATTGAGTAAGGTTAGTAGATTTTTATGTATTACGCCCGAATAGCAAAAGCTTGAAATTCAATATGGGGGTACAAACTTTTTCACAGTGCCGTTTCTCAGCATTGTTCAGGACATCCACTTGTATATGAGTAAAGTCAATAGATTTTTCATGTATTATGTCCGAATAAGTAAAAGCTTGAAATTTGCATTAAGTCAGATTATGGAAAAGCTTGAAATTCAATATATGGGGGATGCAAACTTTTTCCCAGTGCCGTTTCTTAGCATTGTTCAGGACATTCACTTGTATATGAGTAAGGTCAATAGATTTTTATGTATAATGTCTGAATACGGAAAAGCTTGAAATTCAATATATGGGGGGTGCAAACTTTTTCACAGTGCCGTTTCTCAGCAGTGTTCAGGACGACTGCTCAAATATGAAGAATAAGGTCAATCTAATTTTTTTGGCATTACGTCCGAATACAGAAAAGCTTGAAACTCAATATATAGGGGGTGCAAACTTTTTCACAGGGCTGTTTGTCAATGGTGTTCAGGATGCCCAGCCGGCCTCGGACAGACGCATGCGCTTGACGGACGGGCTCTGCCGCTCATTTTCGGCTGCTCTCATCAGTCCCACGGGCGAGTGGAAGTTTGCGCGGTGTTCGTCGCGGTCGCTGCCGTCGTACGAGCTGCCGCAGCTGCTGAGACTGTCCACCGGGGAGCGTCCCGAGTCCTGCCGCAGCGGGGTCTGCTGGGGCACGCCGTACAGCCCCGGGGTCCCGCTCGCTCGATCCCGTGGAGGAGACACCGGCTCCGACTTAATGTGCAGGTTCTGGTTGGACGGCAGAGATAGGGCAGAGCTCTGGCAGAGCTGAGCACTGCTGCAGTTCCTGTGGAAGAAAGCAAGAAATACATGAAAATTAGAAAATTCTGAGTAATTCTGAGTGTTGCAGCCAACAAATCATGAAACCTTGCTCATATTAAAATATGTTTCTTATTTGGTTATTAAAATATTGACGATTTTTTTTTCTTAGTAAATTTTAAAATAGAAAAATCTTAATTAAAAATGTATGATAATCATTTAAAAAATGTAAAAATCTAAAATTAAATATATATATATATATATATATATATATATATATATATATATATATATATATATATATATATATATATATATATATATATTTCAATAATATAAAAAATAATATTTAGAAATAACACAATCTTTATTTTATTGCATCTTACAAAACTTCCTGACTTTAACATTTAAATAAAATTGAAGCAATTAATTTAAATTTTAAAATAGAAAATTGTTAGTTAAAAAAAATATATAATTTAAGAATATATTTTTAAAAAATATTATATGTTTTTTAATAATTAAATAAAGACAATTTTAAAATAACACTTTCTTTATTTTACTGCATTTTGCAAAACTTACCGACTTTTCAATTTAAATTAAATTTGATTTAATTACATTTTTACGATTTTTAAATAAAATAATAAATTAAAAAATATATATAATAAAAATATATAAATAAACAATTTATTTAAAAAAATTATTTAAAAAGAAAATTTTAGATTTATTTCAGATCTCAGACATTAGTTTAAAATGTTGTGGTCTAATCCTGTGGTCAGAGTGAGTGTCAGAGCTGGCGTTGTGCGATGTTGGTAAAATGAATTGAATTGAACTGAGTTGAGTTGAATGGGCTCTATGCAGAGCTAGTGTTTTTCAGCCAATGATGAACGTCCGGTGAATGCTTTATGTGACTATTTTTATTTCATTAGGTTGCTTTTACAGCATTCATGTTGTAATGAAATAAAATATAATCAGTTAAACAGACTTCAGCATCCATTTGATTGATAAAACGTAAAAAGAGACGAACAACCGTTTAAATGCAAGCGCTGTCATTAACCACAGGCCAGCACAGAAACTCTATTGAAAATACTGGTGTAAAATGAATTTCCATATATTTAAGACATGGCGCTCACTTCATATTGTATCTCAGGGAGGGAGTTCTTTTTAAAGAAATGCGAGCTTAAACACGGCGAGTTTTGCGGTGAGTTTTGTATGGGATTACAATTCACTGGAAGCCCTGGGGCTGGCTGACTGAAATTAGAAGTCCATGTGCATATACCCCACTGAACCGAGTTGAATTGAGTTGTATTGAAGTGAATGTGGCGTGCCGCTCACCCCAGATGCCCCAGGCCAGAATGCTGCATGTTCTGCGGCCAGCCGGTCATGGAGCCCAGATGAAGAGACGCGGAGCTGTTAAACGCAGACAGAGAGGACAGATCTCCACTGCTCAGAGAATATTCTGGAGGATCAAATCAGAAGAAAAACCGTGTTACTGCAACAGATCTGAAAAGGAGAAATGATGAGGCAAGGGCGCCACCTGCTGGACACATCAACACTCGCACCAATCTGAACAAGTTCTTAATAGTGCTTGTTGTATAAAGGCCCATAGCCGGGGGGTTCGAAAGAACTACCCCTCACTGACAAAGGTCCAGAATTTGTCCCATACATGAGCTCAATTGTCCTATTTTGACTGCTGTGTCATCGCAATAAGTGAAAATAACCCATCGAAAAGGCTTTGAGACCAAGCTGAATTCTGTGTTGGCTGTCATGACTTCAGCTAACCAGTTTTGACCAATGCAAAGAATCATTTTTCAAGAGTCCAACATCCAGCTGTGCAAGAAAACACAATCTGATGTAAGTGACGACATCTTTTATTACTATATTGCTTTTAAAACCGAGAAAACAGTTTATAAGTAACTTTTTTTTTCTAAATCTTGGACCTTATTCAAGAAACTAAAAAATGACCAATAAAAAGGTGTGAAGCAGCAAAAGCGGATCATATTAAACTTAATTTGAATACTATTTTGACTATTGTTGTTTTCCATGAATTTTTAAATGTAATTAATTAATTTATTTTATTTCAAATGGTAATAAAATCAGTTAAACTAGGGCAGTTTGTTATTTATAATTTGCCTAATAATTGACAATAGGCTTTTTTTTTTCTTTTTAAATGGGTTATTTTTTTATGGCATATGAAGTAATAAATTAGTATTTTAAAAATAAATATTTCTTTATAATAATTCTTTAGGAATTTCTTTTGGTATATCAAAAAGTGTGGTTATGATGACCATACGACAAGCTAATCCAGATAAAAAATAGAGCTTAAAATGTATTTAAATCTCATAATTAAATATAAAATGAGGTGTGTAACTCCAAAAAGGTCCACTTTTTGAGAAAAAAAGAACCACCTCTTTTTGACCTACGGACCTGGTATATTGTGTCATATCACAACCACAATTACAAGAAAGTTGTAATGAAATCAAGTATCAAGTCTTGACAAAAGACAAGACTTCCAAAGTTTTCAAAGACAAAATACAGATCAAAATAAAACAAATAATTATTACAAAGCATTTTTGAGTGCATTAAGAATTTTCAATTTAAGCCCAGAATAATAATTTCAGTGCATCCTTAATTTCTATATTCTAGAGCTGGACAAAAGATTAATCACATCCTAAATAAAAGTTTGCTTTGACATAATATATGTGTGTGTAGTGTGTATATTTAATATGCACATACAGTAGAAGTCAGATTTATTAGCCCCCCTGAATTATTAGCGCCCCTGTTTATTTTTGTCCCCAATTTCTGTTTAACATATGGAAGATTATTTCAGCACATTTCTAATCATAATAGTTTTAATAACTCATCTCTAATAACTGATTTATTTAATCTTTGCCATGATGACAGTAAATAATATTAGACTAGATCAGGGTTTTTCAAAGTCTAAGACAGTGGGCCTCCCTTTTGAAACAACTTATCCATTGGCACCCCCTCCTCCCAAACACGCACGCACGCACACACACACGCACACACACACACACACACACACATATATATATATATATATATATATATATATATATATATATATATATATATATATATATATATATATTTATATATATATATATATATATATATATATATATAAAGACACAGACAGATGTCAGACTGTTAACTCACTTTTATCATCATTTGCATGAAAGTGCAATTATTTACAGAGTAATAACAAGTATTTTAATATAACGTATTTAAAACTAGGATGATGGTTCAATATGAATAGAACAGATCCAAGAACTGTCCATCCCAGTCAAAACAGTCAAAGTTTAGTGGGTGTCATGCTGTCATTAGCCAAAATACCTTGACAAACCACACTTAAAGGTCGGTTCATCAGCTGGTCCTGTCCACGTAAATCCTAAACTCAAATACTGATCATCATATCGTCGTCTTTTGGGTTTAAGCCCTGAACTTGAAGGCTTTTGTGGCGAGGGGGCGTGGCCAAGAGCCGTGGGAACGGAGTGAGGCCACTGCGTGAGTGGATACACCTGCGGTGCGCACCTGCCTCGGATCCCTCGGAAGGAGCTCTGGATCATAAAACTATGGCAGAGGAAGCCGAGAGAGGACCGGACCCGGACATATTTTACTTTTGCTTTCAGTTTGACGGCAGTCTCCGCGAGGAGCTGCCGTCACTGTTATTAATAAATCATTTTAAAACTGCGTCGGTTCTCCGCCTCCTTCTTCACGGCGGGCGGCGCCGGCGGCCAAAGGGCCGTGAACTTCATTACAGCTTTGAATCGGGGGGTCTCAGAGACCGACCCACTGTATTAGCAGGCATACACCTGTATTGGCGGGCTTGCCAAACAGAAGCGAATTCACAGCTTTGGCCTTCTGGGTAAAAAAGGTTTTCTTACATTTGACGTATTATTTATTTTTTTTGCTTTGTTTAATTAAAATGTTTAAATATAATAAAAAATACATATATTAATTAAACATAATAATTAAATTTTTATTATATTATATTTTTTCCCGCGCCTCCCCTGACATGCTCTGGCGCCCCCCAGGGGAGGTGCGCCTCACACTTTGAAAACCCCTGGACTAGATATTCTTCAAGACACTTCTATACAGCTTAAAGTGACATTTAAAGGCTTAACTAGGTTAATTAGGTTAACTAGGCAGGTTAGGGTAATTAGGCAAGTTAATGTATAATAGTGGTTTGTTCTGTAGACTATCAAGAAAAAATATAGCTTAAAACGGCTCATAATTTTGTCCCTAAAATGGTAAAAAAACTACCTGTCCCATATGAGGTATTGATGGCAGACGGGTATCCGCCCATCACTTCTCCAGGTAGGGTGGGTGTGGCCACAGACACCACAGGTGTGCTGAGAGACTGAGCCGACTGAGAGCTGCTGATTCGCTGATTCTGGAGGAAACAAACAACACATTTATTACAGCAGCCGGACAAGCGACACACCTGTCAGACCTGCTGATCATGTGACCAGTTATAGGGTATCACTGGACAATACACTCATCTTATACTGTACATACACTGCTCCCGCTACAGCCGACAGTCCCCATGGCAACAGCGGAATGAGATTTGATACATTTGGGTGTGTTCCAAATCAAATACTTGGCTTTGTACAAAATCGCCTACTACCCTACCCCAGTAGGTACTACATTTAAATGTGAAGTACATTCTATTTAGTATGAAGGTGAGTAGTATGACTGGAATTCGCATGTACTACATACTCAGCTTCACTCCCATTCATGAATTCTCTCGTGTTGCATCATGGGATAGCGTAGCATCCATTGTATGCACACTACAGAGTCCCACCAGAAGTAGCAGGTCATCTGGGTGCTTTTCGTTTGCTGATTTTCGAATTCTATGAATTCTGACATACTTCTCAGCTTGCATACTGTTTTTCATTTACTATATAGTAGGGAAGCATATAGTATAAATAGTGTAAATAGTGCATTCACACTGAAATTTAATTCTAAAAAGAAAATGTTTAATTTAAAGACACCGATGATGCATTTATTTAACCGTTAAAAATAAGTGTGTAATCTTGGACATCCAGGAAAGGTTTAAGCTTCTGGTTAGTAAACAAATGTTAAATGTTCCATTTAAGATGACACTATACACACTCAACAGCATTCATTCATTCATTCATTCATTCATTCATTCATTCATTCATTTTCTTTTCAGCTTAGTCCCTTTATTAATCCAGGGTCGCCATAGTGGAATGAACCGCCAACTTATCCAGTAGGTTTTTACGCAGCAGATGCCCTTGCAGCCGCAACCCATCCCTGGGAAACAACCATACACACTCATTCACACTCATACACTACGGACAATTTTCCTTACTCAATTCAGCTGTACCGCATGTCTTTGGACTGTGGGGAAACCGGAGCACCCGGAGGAAACCCATGCAAAAGCAGGGAGAACATGCAAACTCCACACAGAAACGCCAACTAACCCAGTGACCTTCTTGTTGTGAGGCGACAACACTACCTACTGCACCACTGCGTCGCCCACTCAACAGCATAGTATATGAATTTAGTGTATAGTGTGCCATTTGGGGCACAGAGATAAACTTGGCTGCTACTAAAATCGCCTACTGTACTAAAGAGTATGTACTATATTTAAATTTACAACACAGCCGTTAGAAAAGTATGCTCTATACAGTATGAATGTATTATGATTGGAATTTGAACGTACTACATACTCTATTTCTCAATTTCAGATGCAGCCTAGTACACTATTCTACGCCGTCATTCACACTAAAGATTCTAAAAGCTTAAGGGCACTTAAAATAACCAGATGATGATTGTTTAACCCATAAACAGATAATGTTGCAACCTTGTTATTAACATTGTTATTATTACTATTAATACTACAAATTTTCCTAATCCTTAAATGATAAAAAAACAATACAATAAATCATTTCATAAAAATAAAAAAACAAGCTGTTCAACCGAGCCAATATCATTATCATTTTAACATTTAAGGCCAACTAAAAAGAAAACTATTCAAGTACTATTTAAAAGAATGAATTACTAAATAATAACTGACTGAAGCTGCTTGGATTGGTTTTAACAGTGCAGGATTACTTACCAGCAACATGTCAACATCCTCCGACTGGTGTGCAGATAAAAAGAATACAGTTCTAATTAGTTCTAGTTTAAACGGCATTGGCAGCATGTGATGATGTGCTGTGGATCTACCTCAGTGTTCCCACATGAAAGAAATACTTCAGTAATTTATAGCAAATACTACGTTGTTTTTGAACCGCATTAGTAAAGTACGGTAAAGTGCTTGAATTCTAGCATTGCTATGGTAACGCAACAACAATAGTAATATAAACCAATTAATCTGTTGTGGTCATTCTATAGTTGCTATAGTAACGCAACAACAATAGTAATATAAACAAATTAATCTATTGTGGTGATTCTATAGTTGCTATGGTGACACAACAACCATAATCAAGTGAGCAAATTAATCTGTTGTGGCGATTCTATGGTTGCTATGGTAACGACAACTATAATACAGTTGACAATTTAATCTGTTGTGGTGATTCTATAGTTGCTATGGTAACACAATAACTATAATAAATTGGCAAATTAATCTGCTGTGATGATTCTACAGTTGCTACGGTAACAACGACTACAGTAATATAACTGTATGTATATATATATATATGGTATATTATACTACAATACACAACAGTTTACTGTAGTAAACAAAGTATACTACAGTATTTATTGGGTTCGCTATATTTAATACTCCAGTATGCTGGGTCATTCGTTAACAAACAGTAGTGCTATATAAATGTAAGGAATTGTTATTATAATTATAATTATTATTATTAGTGAATATTATAATATATAAAGCACAATACATTTTACTATAGTATGCAACAAAAACAACAACTATAACTTACTATAGTGTTTTATTTCATGTGGCTTAAAGTAACACTGTGTAGTTTTTCAACCATAAAATGACGACCAATTTTTCAACACATTTCAAGCATAGTTTTAATAACTAATAGTAGCTGTGAGGCTGCGTGTCCACCGAAGCGTTTTCTCTCGAGCTGAGAGTTTGTTTTCTTTTGTTGTCAATTGATAGTTTTCACGTGTCGTCACAACATTAAGGGACGGGCAAAACAAGGCGGTAAGTTTCCGAACAGGTCACGTGACTGAAAACTCAATGGTGGAGCCATGTTTTTTAGTGCCTGCATTGTAGCATTTACGTTACTTTGCTAGCTGAATATTGCAGCGCCCATCAGTGTCACATTTGAGCTAGCTATCCAATCACAGTGAAAGAGGGGCGGGACTATAACACGCAACACAACAAATAGGCTGAGTCCGAAACCGCCTACTACTCAGTAGGTACTGCATTTGAATTTAAACGTACTACTCGGCCATTACAAAAGTGCGTTCTATACAGTATGAATGTGAAAAGTATGAATGGAATTCGCATATACTACATGCGCCATTTTGTCATGGTCACGCGACCTACCTGCGTCATTTGCGTCGCTTTACTCCCATTCATGAATTCGCTCGCGTGGCATTATGGGATAGCGCAGCGTGCATGGGATGCGCACTCCAGAATCTCACCGGAAGTAGTAAGCCAGCCGGGTACTTCTCGCATACTGATTTTCGAATTCTATGAATTCGTACAAACTACTCGGCTCGCATACTGATTTTAGCATACTATATAGTATGGAAGTATGCGGTTTTGGACGCAGCTAGTATCTGCAAAAGACTTTCAGCTTGTAACGACTTTCTTGCATTTCTGCAGCGCAAAAACTCTCCGGTGGACACGCAACCAGGTGTTTTCTCAGTGTCACTCATATTAAACCCTACTATGGAGGAGTTTCTACAGCGAGTGTCATTCATTGTACACTTACGATTGATGGCATGGTGTTCTTGGCTCCAGGTGGGATGAGGACGCGCAGGTCGGGTTTGCGGCTCAGGCTCATGTTCATGGACGGAGGAGATTTGGCCTGCAGGTTCTTGCTCATGTTCCCTGGAGAGACCAGCAGACCAGGGGAGTTGCGGTGGTTTCCGTACCCGTTTCCTATAGGACAACCAGACAGCATTCATCAGCCTCTTTAACACACCTCTTTTAATAACTCCTAATAACTGATTTCTTTTCTTTGTCATGACGACAGTAAATAATATTAGACTAGATCTTCTTCAAGACACTAGTGTTCAGCTTAAAGTGACATTTAAAGGCTTCACTAGGGTAATTAGGGTAAAGTTAGGGTAATTAGGCAAGTCATTGTATATCAGTGGTTTGTTCTGGAGACAATCCAAAACTAATATTGCTTAAGGGGGCGAATAATATTGACCTTAAAATGGGATTAAAACAATTAACAACAGCTTTTATTCTAGCCCAAATAAAACAAATCAGACTTTCTCCAGAAGAAAAAATATTAAAGGGAATTCTGTGAAAAATTCCTGAATCTGTTCAACATCATTTGGGAAATATTGTATTACACATTTCACTAATAATACTGTAGTATTACTAGAGTTGTCCAGTGATTAATATCAATTAATCACATGCAATATTTCTGTTTTGCATATTACTTTTGTATTTCATACATGTCTGTATTTATATATACATAATTAATATATACAGCACAAACACATATATTATGTAAAGACAAGTTTTATTTTGGATGCAATCCCAATTAATCATCTGACAGCACTAACTATTATTATTATCAAAACACTAATGGAGACAGAAAGAGGGATGTATTTGATTTATTTTTATATGAATTACACAATTAAAAAAACTAATAATAGAAAAGAAAATGTATAAATAATGACACAAATTCATATATTTTTTACATTTATTTAATGACATTTTGCAATGTCTACCAATGTTCTGGATCTTTTATTTTCATTTAAAGCAATTAAAATAATGATTATAAATCGAATAATGTTTTGACACAATCCACATTGTAAAAGTGCTACACACATAAAGATGAACTGAATTGATAATAAGTAATAAAACAAAAATAAATGCTAATAAATATTTTTAGTTTTAGTTAATATTAAAGTTTTTGTTAAAAGTTGGCCTTTCACAATGCATTTGTTGTGTTAAAAACTATTTATAAATATATATTTGTCATGATCACCAGAGATCAAGACCTAATAAACCGCTGGAAGACATGTACTGTCAACCAAAGTACAATTCTGCCACTGAACTGCACTACATATCCCATCAGGCACCTCACACACACACCAGTTCTGGATCACCCCTGGATGCACACACACAGCTGAAGCTTGTAAGGACTGATGACCAGGACTTTCCGCTTGTTAAGTGTGACGTCACGCGAAGCGGCTTCCGGGTCCAAGCGCTCTATACAACTGAATGAGGAAACTCATGAAATGGTAATAATAAACGTTTACAAAGCGATTTAATACTTTCGAAAATCACGATCGCATTATATATGTCCATGCCTAACATCCGATGGCCAGAAAGTGATAATTTTTTTTATAAATTGTTAATTTTTTGGTATTTGTTTTGCAGCAAGCCCAGAGATTGTTGTGTACATTATGATTTTATATAAAATTAACTTTAATGTGTGATATGAATTAAAAGTAATCATAAACGAATGATTTCTCCACTCAAATGAATGGCGGACCCGGAAACAGTATGTCACCACTTAACAAGCGGATACATACAGCACTTATTCTCACACACATTGCTGAGTCTTGTTGTTGTTATATATAACATTACGAATCGTCCTCCTTGTTTAGTCTCTCCATGTTTGACCCTTGCATTGTTTACGTTGTTTGCCGCCTGTATAGTTCGCTTTGCCTGTAACCTCGACTACATGTGACTACTTATGCTCCTGTTTGTACCTGCTGACCATTGCCTGCTTGTCGATTCTAATAAACTATACATGGATTTCTCAACTCTGTTTTTCTGGTAATCATCCATTACAATATAATTGTATTTCCATTTTTATATTTTATAATTTTATTTCTAAAATGTTAGGATCATGAATGTTTCTGTGATTTAAATGAATCACAATTTTTGATAAATCTACCTTTATAAAAAAACTCTTTCATGCCGCATTTTTTTGAATCTGTGGTCGCTTTCCTGATATTTTACAGTTTTGTAGATATTTTATGTTTCCAGAAACAATATTATTTCTGTGGTCGTTTTGAAGACGTCATCTGTAAATCATTGCCATCTGTCACAACAAATCACTGAGAAAAAAAAACAACAGAAAAAACATAAACGCTGCCAAACGTGGTCATGTTTTTTTTTAAGCAGCGAGTCCAGAATCAGTCTTAGATATTTTCCTTCCTCCAGCACTGAATGCTAATAACAGACGAGCATCTGGAGGAATAAAAGCTGCTCAGATGACGATATTACTATTCTGTCGTCTATATTTTATTTGATTCTGCTACATTTGAGTCTGTGCACTGATGAACTGATGCTGTCGACAGACATACAGACACTTTAATCCTGCAAACCTCACGATGTGAAAAAGCCATTTCACTTCATGAAGCCCCAGATGAAAAATACTACAGCAGTTAATATCAAATACAATATATTTATGGCATATATTATAGTTTTTACATCTCTTTGTGAATGAATGATCAAGCATACAGTAGTATTAACTGATAAGCTGTAATAAATTCTGTAGTATACTTTTTTTACTGCAGTAAACCGTGGTGTATTGTAGTACCCTATATTTATAGAAAACTACTGTAAAACGCTACTGTAGTTGTTGTGTTACCATAGAAACTGTAGAACCACCACAGCAGATTTATCTATTTATACTACTATAGTTTTTTTTCCCAGAGATGGGTTGCAGCTGGAGGGCATCCGCTGCTTAAAACATGTGCTGGATAGGTTAGCGGTTCATTCCGCTGTGGCGACCCTCTAATTAATAAAGGGACTAAGCCAAAAAGAAAATGAATGAATGAATGAATGAATTACTATAGTTGTTGTGTTACCATGGCAACAACAGAATCACAACAACAGAATAATTTGTTTGTATTACTATAGTTATGTTACTATAGCAACTATAGAATCACCACAACAGATTAAATCGTTTATATTACTATAGTTTTTGTGTTACCATGGCAACTACAGAATCACCACAACAAATTAAATTGTTTATATTACTATAGTTGTTGTGTTGTGCTACCATGGCAACTACAGAATCACCACAACAGATTACATTTTTTTATATTACTATAGTTGTTGTTACCTTAGCAACTGTAGAATCACCACAACAGATTCATTTGTTTATATTTCTATAGTTGTTGTGTTACCATGGCAACTACAGAATCACCACAACAGATATTTTTTTTTAATTACTATAGTTGCTGTGTTACCATAGCAACTGTACAATCACCACAACAGAGTATTTGCTACTGTACATAATATGTTTGTCACACTACAGTATTTACTGTGCATTACTATAGTATTTTTTTTGTTTTCTGTGTATCAGATTTCTGTATGTTCAGTGTTGAAATCGCAGTCTCAGATCTCCACGTTTCCTCTCTACTAACAGTGGTGTTGACGGCATCATCGTATTCAAATTCAGCATGCTTTTATGAATCGCTTCTTTAAATAAACTATTTAAGACGACAACCCACCGCAACATCCTACAGCGGTGCGCTGGGCAAACATCCGCAGAGGAACTAACAGAGCCAAGAGAGACTTTGAATCAGATCTGTGTGTACTGAGATCAGTGTGAAAATGACTAAATACAACACTAAATGTGTAAATAATTCTTCTTTAATTACTGTCTGAAAACGAATTACTCAATAAGGAGTTTAACTGCTCGACTTTATACTGCATAAAAATCACTGAATTAATTTTCTGAAGTATTTCAATCTGAGACAATCAGAGCCTTTTAGCTTTATTAATGTATTTACTTACATGAACTAAGTATGAACAATCTTGTGCTACATTTATTAATGCACTATGCATTCATTCATTACTTTTCCTTCAGCTTATTTATCAGAGGTCGCCACAGCTGAATGAACCGCCAACTATTCCAAACCGCCAATTATTCCAGCATATGTTTTACACAGCGGATGCCCTTCCAGCTGCAACCCAGTACTGGGAAACATGCATACATACTCATGCACGCGCACACACACACACACACACACACACACACACACACACACACACACACACACACACTCATATATTACAGCCAATTTAGTTAATCAATTCCCCTATAGCGCATGTGTTTGGACTGTGGGGGTAACTGGAGCACCCGGAGGAAACCCACACAAACACGGGGAGAACATGCAAACTCCACACATAAATACCAACTGACCCAGCCGGGACTCGAACCAGCGACCTTCTAGCTGTGAGGCCACATTGCCAACCACTAAGCTAGTTTTATCATTTTTAGCAGTTGTCTGCTGGAACTGGAAGCACTTTTAGCTTAGCTTAGCATAAATAATTAAATCAGATTAGCATTCATTCATTTATGCATTGACTTTTCGGCTTAGTCCCTTTATTAAACTGGGTTCGCCACAGCGGAATGAACCACCAACAATTCCAGCATATGTTTTACACAGCGAATGCCCTTCCAGCTGCAACCATGCACTGGGAAACACCCATGCACTCTCATTCACACACATACCCTAATTTAGCTTATTCAATTCACCAATAGTGCATGTCTTTAGACTTGTGGAGGAAACCTACGCCAATATGGGGACAACTCCACACAGACACGTCAACTGATTCAGCTGAGGCTCGTACCAGCGACCTTCTTGCTGTGACAACGCTACCCACTGCGCCCCCATGCCGCCCAGACCATTAGCATATCGCTCAAAAATAATAATAAATTTGAATTATTTTTCTAATATTTTCCCACATGTTTCAAAGTATCTTCTTTTGTGTTGGACAGAAGACAGAATCTCTAGTAAAGGGTGAGTAAATGTTGACAGAATTGTAACTTTCGGATGAACTGCCCCTTAAATTACAGTAACTATTGACTTTCGAACTGATTCTTCAACGGCAGCTGATCTTACCAGTGCTGGTGCCCGCCCCGCTGCCCAGATCTGCAGCCATCAGACCTCCTGTGGACACACAGACCACAGTAAAGATCAATTCATCTTTATTTCTATAGCGCTTTTACAACGTAGATTGTGTCAAAGCAGCTAAACACAGACGTTCTAGTAAACTGAAGCTGTGTCAGTCTAGTTTTCAGAGTTGAAAGTCAGTGGAACTTCTGTGTGGAGTTTGCATGTTCTCCCTGTGTTGGCGTGGGAACCCCCACAGTCCAAGCACATGCGCTATAGGGGAATTGATCAACTTAAATGGCTGTAGTGTATGTGTGTGTGTGAATGTGTATGGGTGTTTCTCAGTATTGGGTTGCAGCTGGAAGGGCGTCCACTATGTTAAACATATGCTGGATGAGTTGGCGGTTCATTCCACTGTGGCAACCCCTGATAAATAAAACTACTAGGATTTTCTTGCCGAATCCAACTTTTTTTTCTGTAAAATACGTCAGAATGAGGAAAAATCCGGAGTCCCGGGTTAAGCGGAGAGCAAGGTACCTGTGTTTCCTGCACTCGGGGGCCGGTGGGTGACTCCAGGGGACATGCTGTTCCTCTGCAGGGACGGATGGGTCAACGGCAGCAGGTTTGGGTTACCCAGAGACGCTCCTGGGTGGCCGTAGATCAGGCTGTTGGGGTTGCTGACGGGGATGGAGACAGGCATGTCGTAGTTAGACTGAGGGATGGCCTGGAAAACAGAATGCATGGAAATCAGTCCATTACGTAAAGCAGACATTTCACATTCGCAAACATGCATTCCTGAATCATGTATATTACAGTTGACCCAAATATAAGAGTTTACAGTAAATTAGGCCAATTATATGTTCTCATATGCAGTCACTATTTATACTAAAGGGCACCTAGGTTACCCCTTTTTTCAGATTTAATATAAGTCTTTTGCGTCTCTAGAATGTGTATATAAAGTTTCAGATCGAGTCACCCATCAGATTTTTCATTAAACCTTTTACAAGATGCTGTTTTATACTGATTTCCAGCAGGGGGTGGTTTTGTCGTACTGCGCCTTTAAGACGAGTCTTTCCCGCCTATTGTTTCTACATGCCTCCTCCCTCAGCTGCGTCAGACAACAGACAGACTTAAAGGAAGGAGGTCTCACGTAGCGTTTGTGAGATACTACAGTAAGAACTAACCTTTACTACTCAGTATTGTGAAGTTGCATTGATGAGTCTCACACACACACACACACACACAGATATACACGCACACCGCAGATGACACACACACACACGCAGGCAGGCAGACAGACAGAGCGCGCTTAGCTTAGTTAAGGCTAACCTCAAGTACTGTGTGTATATCTGTTATGCTAATGTACAAAATAAACCTGATTTAACTTCCACAAACCGGGATTGAAGTGTCTTCCTTTATAATTGTTCTGACACGCGGCTGTGCTGAAGTAAAGCTGAAGTAAAACGCTGTAATTAATTACACACATACTCTGTTTTAAAACACTTTAAACATGTGAAACTCACTCTTAATCACATTTGATGATGATTGCTGATCCTAGCGAACAGAACAGACCTTTTATTCCCGGTTGCTTTGCGTATGTCTGTCTGGTCTTGTTGACATATACACGCGACTACCGGAACATGCTGATGCGCACAGCTGTCAATCAATTCGGTGGGCGGGGGGATCGACCTACGTAATGGTGCGATCGATTTGAAAACAGCTCCAATTGGCCGACCCTTTTTTGTAGTTAAATTGAAAAAAAAGGACTGGGTGTGTTCATATCACCCCAGTATGACGGTCTATACACTATACCAACACACTAGATATCGCATAGGGACCCTCAGCATGCGTCAATAGCGCCGCCACATTGGTACAGTGCTCCCAGGACAAATGTCATTCAACCGCACTAGTCAAGACAGTGTTATTACGTGAAGATGCGGGACTTTAGCGCTGTCTACGGGTGTAGAAACGAGCAAACAAAGAAAACAAAGCACAAAGGCAGAACATTTCATAGGTAATATTACGTTTTTTTCTGTTTTTGTATGTTCTGAACTCTTGTGCTAATCAGGTAACGTTATTGATGATGACAGACACTTACTGCATTCACCATACGGCAAAGCAGCTCCAACTCGCACTAAACACTCGGCTTATGCTAGTTTTGTTGAATAAAATCAGCAAACAATGCAAAAGAAATATGACAACGAGATGCTGCGCTGCCAGAAACTTGTATTATTGTCGGCTAACGTTAGTGAAAGAGTCGTTCGGGGGATTCATTCACAAACGAATCGCTCCCTCCGTCAGTATGAGCAGTGAAAGCAGGAGAGGAGCTGTGTTTCAGGACATGATTATATTAAATTTAACAGGGAGGGTGAATAGTACATTTCTGTACACACAAACACAAGCTTTTTGTCAGGAATGCCCGTGCGGTCACTGAGCCATCAATGTAGAAAAAGTGATGTAAAATTATAATATTCGTAATTAGAAAAATAAATACACACTAACATCCAGGAAAACTCATGATCATAGATATATGTGTATGTGTGTATATCTCTGGCTTTGGATGGCCACAGTCCTCCACTGTACCTTGGTCCCGCATTCATTTCAAAGGAGCGCTACCCTGTAGCAAGATGGCGGCGCTATTGACGCATTCCGTCAAATAGACAACAATAGGCCAGGCGACATCTAGTGTATATATCTATGTGTCCAAACAGCTTGAAAAGTAGATTTTTTACCATAGGTGCCCTTTAATGCTTGAAAGAACATATTAATACCAAGAAACAATAGTAAGACAAATCTTAATACTCCAAAAAGTCCAAATAGCAACAAGAAGATAAAATAAATAATACTTAAATTATAAGACTAATACAAAGTACAAAACAAATACAATTACAATAAGCCTGAGGGGGACTAAATAAACAGGCAAATGTTCATTTTTGAGTGAACTGTCCCTTTAAAATATCAGAGGAACTAGACCTGTTACCAGGGGCGCAACTGCACATTTACTGATGGGTATGCGGCTTCAACTTTTGCGCGCCCCCCTTCAATCCAACTATATTTTATAACAGGCAAGTGATAAAATGTGGAAAATATTTCCATCAATAAATTAAAGATATTTTTTCATAAAGATATCAATATGCTTCAAAAAATACAGTTTCGCAGTTCTGAACACAACTGAAATAGTATGAAGTAGTAAAAGGTATAATTACATTAAGCATGTTAAGTCGCAAAGAAATGCATCTTATACCACCCTAAATTTCTTCTCAATTAAATTTTCCCTCACTAAATGATTATATCACCTTGACTAGCCTTGCTTTTGGACTTTTTGTACAGTATTTTGTCCATTTGTCAAAACAAAATGATAGACATGGGAGTCCTAAAGGGCAAAAGATCATTGCGATTACTTCTCACATGCATACTTTGAGAAGTGTAAGGTCTGTATTTGCAAGAACAATTGACTGAAACTGCTAAAAGTGAAATAAAAAGACTGTCAAATGTTTAGTGTAAAAAAAAAAACAGAAACAAACAAATGTTCTATTTAGCTGAAATGTTATAACTTTGTTTGTAGCTAAACTTAAAATAGTTTTGAGCTAAGAAGTTACCAAAAGGTCTAATGAATCAATATGATACATAATAAATTCATAAAAACATGTAAATGGTATGAAAAATGGTGCAATGATTTTTTAATTTAATAAAATACAATATTATACGCGTATAAAATGCTAAATAAACATTTTTAACAAATATTTATATATATATATATATATATATATATATATATATATATATATATATATATATATATATATGTGTGTGTGTGTGTGTGTGTGTGTGTGTGTGTGTGTGTATATATTATTTGAAACTTTTAATATGGATAATTTCAAAAATAGTTTTGGCACAATGGCGCCCCCCATGTGTGGCGCCCCTATGCGCCGCATATACTGCATACCCCCTTTGTGCGCCACTGCCTGTTACAATAATCAATATATGGACTAATCACACAACACATGGACATGAGCTCAGTCATTTTTGCTGATGCAATATATATCAACCACACATAAAAAGCAATTCTAGCTGATTGTGCAACATCTCTATCTCTATTGGAGGTGTCAGTGTCAGAATGGTCAATAAACACAGTAGTATTTGCTATAAGTTACTATAGTATATTCTCATGTGGGTGTCTGACGACTGTAAATAGATCTAGCAGCAGATCTCACAGCCTCTGATACTCTTTACCTGCACTTTTGAGTTCACATCTATTATTATTTATTTAAGATACGTGTGTCCTCATTATCAAACTGATAAAATGACTATAATTAAATCAAATATTCTTCAGAATGAAATATGATGTGTTCTTTGGATGACTGTCCTTGCATTGTGATGATATCATATTGTCATTCTGACATTATATAGTGATGAGTGGCATAAAATGAGCTTTAAATGACAATAATATTGTTTATCGCAATATATTTTGGTGAGAACAAACAATAGATGTCGTGACAGGCCTGAGTGGAACACTAATAAGGCCCACACGGAATCTGCGCGCGCAGAATTCCGCAGATTTCCACAGGTTTTTAGCCCATCATTAATTCTGTTTACTTACTTGAGTAAATGTGTGTAAATCTATATGTATTCAGTTTTTTTAATTAATTACAGTAATATTATTGACTAATATGAAAATGTTCATCAGATTTTTGTACAATGCAGTTTGTACAGTCGTATTTTCTGTCTTTTAGTAGAGATATTATATGAGAGACTTGCTTTGTTTACCAAATAAAGTGAATCTAATTGGATCTGCATTTGAAACATTAAATAAAAGTTAAAAATGTATTACTTTTTATTTCATATATTAAGGTTTTAGTCGTGATACTCACACAATTATTCCGCAGAAATCTGCAGAATTTTACCAAAATGATGCTGTTGAATTTTTTGCGCACTTACACACAGTCTCTGCCGGCTGATCATCAGGTCGATGTCCTCGTTGATTTTGCGATATTTGTCCTCGGATTCTGGACTGTGGCCTGAATCTTCAGCATCGATATCAGGACTGTCACAGCCGTTTAGGCCCTTCTTCCTCAGCGTCTGAAACAAACACGCATAAAAAATTGCAATTATTAGATAAATTATATTGCAAGTATTGGTTTCCCAGTACTGGGTTGCGGCTAGAAGGGCATCCGCTGCGTAAAACATTTACTGGAATAGTTGGCGGTTCATTCCGCTGTGGCGACCCCTGATAAATAAGGGACTAAGTCGAAAGAAAAACAATGAATTAATTGCAAATATGGGATATGGGTTGCCTTTGGTACTGTTTTACATGTGATATTGTACTATAAACAATTGCTGTATATGATCAATAAGTCATAACATGGGTTGTTTTGTTATAAACTTGCTGTGTGTACAGTTTGAGTAGGCTTCTGTGGCCCAATATTTAATTGATTTATAAATTACTGACCATCAACATTACACGTGTGTAAAGGATGCACTCCAGTGGTATGGTCCTGTTAAGGGCTGTTCATGTTCTGAGCTCAGAATAGAAAGGTTAAGTGACAGTGCTGCCGCCTACCTGCGTATTCTGCCAGATCACTGACAACAGAGACACTCAGGGTTGAGTGGTGTATAGAATACAAGAGTTCTTCTTGCTTATGTGCTGATAAAGGTAAAGTTATGCACTGTAAATGTTAGCACCCGGCAGACTCCACACAGAAATGCTAACTGACTCAGCGACCTTCTTGCTGTGAGGCCACAGTGCTAACCACTGAGCCTCTGTGTCGCCCTAAATTAATTGTACAACTGAAAAAAAGAGCGCTGTCCTGTTTGTCCACATGAGGGCTCCATCTGAAAACAAATGCAGCTTGTCCAGCTTGTGAAACAGGAGACTGTGATTACTCAGAGGATCCTCAAAGCCTGACCACTCCAGATCACTCTATTAAACTCCACATCACAGACAGTAAATCCTCACTCTGCTGACATTAAACCAAACACCATCAGGACACCACGACTCTAACTACACACTGGATTCATCATGTACACCTTTTAAATTATGTGTGTGTGTGTGTGTGTGTGTGTGTGTGTGTGTGTGTGTGTGTGTGTGTGTGGTTAAGGTATTAATTAAGGTATTCTTTTCTATCCTATTCTGTCATATACTCTTCTATTCTGTTCTATAGAATTTATTCTATTCTGTCCAATATTACTCTATTCTTATCTATTACTCTGTTCTTATCTATTCTATACTGTCTTATACTATTCTGTTCTGTTCTATTTTCTATTCCATATTATTCTATTATCTCCTACTCTGTCTATATCCTACATTGTCCAATATAATTTTATTCTGTCCAATATTATTCTATCCTACTGTCATGTTCTATTCTATACTGTCTTATACTATCCTGTTCTTTTTTATTCAACTGTACTCTACTATACTCTGTCCTACATTATTCTATTCTATTCTATTCTATTCTATTCTATTCTATTCTGGGGGATAGAATGGAATAGAATACAATAAATTGGGACATAATAGGATAGTATAATATTGGACAGAATATCCCATATTATTATATTCTATACTACTCTGTTCTATTCTATTCTATTCTTTTCTATTCAACTGTACTCTATTATGTCCAATATTATTCTATTCTATCCTACTGTCATATTATATTCTGTCTTATACTATCCTGTTATAGTCTATCCTATTTGACTGTACTCTACTCCACTCTGTCCTACAGTATATACTGTAATTCTGTTCTGTTCTATTCTGTCCAATATTATAATAATGTTTAATTCTACATTAACCTATAATATTCTATCATATAGTGTTTAGGTCTATTCTATTCTAGCCTATATTATTCTATTCTGTGCAAATATTCAATTCTATTATGCTGTGTTATCCTACTCTTTTCTTTTCTATTCTATTCGGTCATCCTACTCTATTCTGCCCTATATTATTTATTCTATTCTATTCTATATACTATTCTATTCTATTCTATTCAATTCTATACTATACTATTTTATACTATACTATACTATACTATACTATTCTATTCTATTCTATACTATACTATTCTATACTATACTATACTATACTATACTATACTATACTATACTATTCTATTCTATTCTATACTATACTATTCTATTCTATTCTATACCATTCTATACTATACTATACTATTCTATTCTATACTATACTATACTATTCTATACTATTCTATTCTATATTATACTATACTATTCTATTCTATACTATACTATACTATACTATTCTATACTATACTATTCTATACTATACTATTCTATTCTATACTATACTATACTATACTATTCTATACTATACTATACTATTCTATTCTATACTATACTATACTATACTATACTATACTATACTATACTATACTATACTATTCTATTCTATACTATTCTATTCTATACTATACTATACTATTCTATTCTATACTATTCTATACTATACTATACTATACTATACTATACTATTCTATTCTATACTATACTATTCTATTCTATTCTATTCTATTCTATTCTTTACTATTCTATTCTATACTATACTATCCTATACTATTCTATTCTATCCGGTCATCCTACTCTATTCTGCCCTATATTATTTATTCTATTCTACTCAGTCCTGTTCTATTGTATAGTATTGTATTTTATTACATTATCCTACTCTATTCTGTCCTATATTATTTGTTCTATTCTACTCAGTCCAATTCTATTCTATTCTATTCTATACTATTCTATTCTATCCGGTCATCCTACTCTATTCTGCCCTATATTATTTATTCTATTCTACTCAGTCCTGTTCTATTGTATTGTATTGTATTTTATTCTATTACATTACATTATCCTACTATATTCTGTCCTATATTTTTTATTCTATTCAGCTCAGTCCAATTCTATTCTATTCTATTCTATTCTATTCTGTTCTATAAGCTTGACCTCAGTTTCCGCAATCAGAATAAGACAGTTTCATCTTGTTTCATCAGTTTCCTCATGGTTTTAGAGAGTTAAATGTAGAGTTGAATCTCATCTTCTCTCTCAGTGTTTCTCTCTTCCCGTCAAGCGTCCAGATCTCTGGCACACAGTAATTCCACTCACTCGAGTCATGTCCACCTGTCGGGCCCCTGCACCTGTCCAACAAATCACCCCGCTGAGGGGGAGGCTCCGGGGCCGCAGCCAATCACAGTCTCGGGCCCCAGCCATGGCCCTACAAGGCTATTTTTTGCCCCAGTGCCACCAGCAGCGTCCCAGCACCCCTTCACCAGCTCCATGCCAAAGCCTGACATCAGCAGACTAAACACACACACATGCACTCACACACACGCACACACACACACACACACACACACACACACAAGCACTCAATAGGAGGAGAGATGTGCCCCGTTCACAATTAAAGACACAGCTCACCCAACAATGAGCATTTATTCAGCATTTACCTTTATGAGTTTCTGTTGAACACAAAAGAAGATATTTTGAAGAATGTTGGAGAACTGGTAGCCACTGATATCCACAGTAGGAAATAAAAGTACTATGGAGGTCAATGGCTTTTCAACATTCTTCAAAATATCTTCTTTAGTGTTCAATAGAAAAAAGAAAGTCAGGTTTGCAACAAGTGGAGCGTTATTAAATGACGACAGCATTTTAATTTTTGGGTGAACTGTCCCTTTAAATCTGAAAGATAGATGTGAGATTTGGGCTGTTCTACTTTAAATGTACTATTATATTTTTATGTGGACACATTTTAAACATATTATTATTAATAAATATTTGGTAATGTCAAATAATGTAGTGGCAAAACCGTGGCTCAGAATTTAGCACTGTGGCCTCGCAGCAAGAAGGTCGCTGGTTCGAGTCCTGGCTGGGTCAGTTGGCATTTCTCCTCGTGTGTGGGTTTTCCCTAAAAGTCCAAACAAATGCGCTATATTGGAATTGGGTAGGCTAAATTGTCGATAGTGTATGTGAGGGAACGAGTGTGTATGGGCGTTTCTCAGTGATGGGTTGTTGCTGGAAGAGCATCCGCTGCGTAAAACGTGCTGGATAAGTTGGCGGTTCATTCCGCTGTGGCGACCCCGAGTTAATAAAGGGATTAAAGCCTGGTTTATACTTCTGCATCAAGTGACCAGCGTGACCCACGGCGCATGCAACGCGCGTGGCTGTGCATTCATACGTCTGCGTGCTGTCTCTGTTGGTCTGCATTAACACTTCTGAAACGCTAGTTGGCAGTAAGGTGTAAATGTTCCTCTGTGTCGAGTTTCTTCGCTGGTGTTTTGCTCATTCTGAATGCTTCCTGAATGTACAAGTGTCTCAAACTCGCTCATTTTGAGGCAGGAACCGGCGGACGTGCATCAGCTTTGACTATGAGGTAAACACAAAACAAAACTTTCCATCCGGAGCTCCTTTACGGGACTCCACACTTGTAAACAATCGCTCCATCAGGCTCGCACCATTCACACGGCTCTCGGTCCCGCCCAGACTCGTCAGCGCTACCCAGTCGACCAATCACAGAGCTTCCGCTACGCGTCGTTGCAATGTCTAGTTACATTTTTTGAGAGGTGCACGTCAGCAATACCGACGGCCACGGCGTAGGGCTATGCGTCGGCGCGTAGGCTGCGCCGTAACAAACACGTGCGCTTGACGCAGAAGTATAAATCAGCCTTAAGCCAAAATGAAAATAGTCACACTTTACAATAAGGTTCATTAGTTAATGTTAATTAATGCATTTACTAAGATGAACAAACAATGAACAATACATTTACTACAGTATTTGTTCATGCTAGTTAACGTTAATTAATGAAAATACAGTAGTTCATTGTTAGTTCATGTTAACTCATGGTGCATTAACTAATGTTAATGAGCATGGACTTGGATGTTAATAAATGTTTAATTATGATTAATAAATGCTGTACATGTGTTGTTCATGATTAGTTCATGTTAGTAAATGCATTCACTAATGAACCTTATTGTAAAGTGTTACCAAGAAAATGAATGAATGTATTAGGAAATAAATGAGGAGATTACTCAAGGCAACTTTGATGTAATACAGTTTGGTAAATTTAACTTTGGTCCAT